AATTAAAGCAATATTTTTTTTGGGAGGAAAATTATGGGGTTTCAGTAGTGCCCACGGCTGGCAGGGAAAATAATGCTGGGACCAGAGAAGGCAAAAAAGAGAGATGCAAGTGTGGTGAGTACTTATAGTATTTTATAAGGAAAATAAAAATGGTTGGTTTCAGCCATGGGCTGTTGCTGTGATATGATGTGAAAGGAGCTTTTGGATTTGAAGAAGAAGAAGATGAAGAAGAAGAAAGAAAGAGGATTTGGCTGTATTGCCATATTTGAAAGTTCTGATTTGGATAATTGTGGTGAAATGATATGACTTATCTTTCGTTTMTATTTTTACTGTTCTACGGTTTACGAGGAAGAGAAGTTATTTCAACGTAGCTGTCACTTTTATAACCGAGATAAAATAAAGATCACTTCTTTGAGGTTTAAAATTCTATCCTAAATATTCTTTTAAATCTTGCATCCACAATCTTTGTTAAAATGTGTAATAAAATTTTAAAAATTTTGAAGGTATAGAATTTGAAACTTTCAAAAAAGGTTAAAAGGTGAATCATATCATGGGTTGGTTCATTGGTCCAAAGGGTTTTTATGTATTTCTTTGGCAACTAGATGTCCGACGACGATTAGATTAGTCGATATATGCATAAGCTGGTACGGACACTCATTGATATAAAAAGAAATTTTAAAATAAAGTGTGATCATTTTGGTCCATTCATTTCTATTTTTATCTAATTTATTTCAACTTTATTTTGATCTATGTATTTTCAACTTTTGTTCATTTTAGTTCATATACTTTTGAAACGATCATTTTGGTCACTCTACTTTTTAAAAGCTATTATTTTAGTAAGTTCGTTTCTATTTTTATCTAATTTTATTTCAATCAAATTTTTAACATGAAACTTTACTAAAAATATTGTTTTGAAATGTTGTCATAAATTTGTATTAAAGGTACAATTKTTCATTGTGTATAAAATTTGTATCAAAATTTTATAAATAGAAACCAATATGATAATTTTTTAAAAGTATTTAGAGACCAAAATAGATGTTTTAAAAGTAAATTGACTAAAATGAACAACGTCCAGAATACAAGGACTAAAATATATTAAAATTACATGGACCAAAATCAAAATAACATAACCAAAATAATATTTAAACCTAAAATGAGAGATRAAATGATATTTCTGTATAATCTATAAAAAAATATAAAATATTATAACAATTTAGATTTTACCCTACATCTAACACATATAACTATATCACTTTTAATTTTTTTTTTTTTTGAAGATATATCACTTTTAGTAATTTTACATTTTAGAGGAAGTTGGGAATATTTAATGCTATTTGATGTTCAAAACATTTCCACAAGCATTTATGAATAACTTTTGGGCAATGGATTTTATTACATAAATGATTGAACAAACATGTGTCTCTTAGGCCATATTTTGCYCCTTTTTTAAGTGCAAGTGTTTGATTATGACAACACATTAATTAACCTTAATACAACTTAGATTAGAACAGTGATGATCATTTCATTGAATTGTTTAGATCATTAAAAGCTTACTGTTAAGAAATAGAACTTTTGCTATTCTATCCCCTCAAAAATTGAAAAGCAAGTACAAAGTACACTCTCATATTTTATAGCAATTAAAAATTACCATTTGGATTCTGTTTCTTGTTTTCGTATASATTCAAGGAATATGCATTTTTCATATTTATTTTTTAAAACTATTTTTGGATTATGTGATTCTAATAGTTAAAATTTTGAAAACAATATTTTTATGTTTTCACTATTTCCAGATTTTGAATTTGAAACTTTAAAATGTAGAATTATATTAAAAAAATAAAAACTTGGATAGATATATTATTTCATGTTATACACTCATTTTATTCTTGTTAAAATTAAAACATATAGATTATAAATTATATAATATTGTAAAATAATAATTATACACCATTTATAACAAAAAAAATGTTAATATTATTTTAGATTGAATTAAATATTTAGTTGGTAACTACCATAATTTACAAATATATTACCAAATACACATTCAACAATTTTTTAAATTGATATTAAATTTCTAAATCTACTACCAAACACATATCTGAAAACACTGAAAACAAAAAAATATAACTCTATTTTGTTTTCATATTTTTGTTTCCAAATTAGCAACCAAACGCACTCTAATTGATTTTGCCCTCAATTTTTACCAAACTCTCATGTTTGTTATTTATTTATTTTTTGAACGTAATATCCTACGTTCTCTATAAATTCTAGGTGGTCACTATGAAGTCTGAACTCATTCTCTATAAACTTGTTTGGCTCCTTTGAAATAATAGACCAACCCATGATGGTTAAATTTGCAGTTGGTCCTACAACTGATTTCAGTCTTTTTATTTATATTTTTTTTTTACATTTAGTAATGTCCTTGATTAGTGCATCCCTACCATACATTTTTTTTTCTCCAAAAAATAAAAAAGAAAAAACTGAAAATGTGGACTTTTTTCTTTTAAGTGTTCTATTTATTATCCACGTGTCATAACAAGGGGGTGTTATAACTGTTAGAACTTAATATGGAATTTATTTACAGATGGAGAACTAAAATTTAGGTTTTTTTTTTTTACAGGACTAAAATTTAGTTCTTAAAACTAAAAGAACTAAAATAAAAATAGCTATAGGGGCTGGAATATTTAAATTTCACATTGATGAGAGAGAAGACACAAATGTTTAATCGATTTAGCTATCTTATGTGCTTTGGACAGTACAAATGGTAAGTTCCCAACTAATATTAATTAAGTCATACAAGTAAATCTGAGTTAGCTTCAACTGGTTAAGGTAACTATCTCCAATCAAAAGGTCGTGGATTCGAATTTTCATCCCTATGGTATTGTATTGAAATTAGCTTCTCTGTCTCTCATTTTTCAATTTGTTTTTTTAGTACAACATGTGGGGTGGAGATCGAACTCRCAACCTTGGAAGTATATGTCAATTATCGCGGAACTATGCTCGATTTCACCCTCATTTTTCAATTTGTTAATATATGAATTTGCACAAGTGGAGAAATAATTACTTCACTACTATCCAAGGAAATTGCTGAGGGCCATGGTTGATAAGCTAGGTAGCCCCTCTTGTTGGTGGTCCTAGAACAGGGAAGAAATCAATTGAAAACTACTTCATCTCTTGTCATCTTCAACCAGACAAATATATATAATCAAATCAAGCTTCTAATTAAAATGGAACCTCAATTTTAACTTTGCCTATTATATTGCAACAATAATGGATGTTCTTATTATCTTGGAGTATAAGAGATTCAAATTCATACATAAATACTACTTCAATTAAATTTTACATATAATGCTTCATGAGAAAGAAGGAAACCTAGGGGGGAAAAGGAACAAAAATTAAATAAGACACATATCATTAGTAAAAAAAGAGAGGTTAACTTATCAATTTAATCCTTACACTTTGAAACATTAAAAAGTTTCAATTATATTATTAAACTTTTATTTTACCGTTTCTTTAAATCTATGTCTTTAATCTCGTTAAAGAGACCCATTAGAATTATTTTAGTACATCAACAATGGGTAGGGATAGAGATTCAAACTTTTGATCTCGTAGAATATTACTTTATGTTTGTATAACTAGTTGAGTTATACTCAAGTTGACTAATAGATAAATTTTTACTTAATTTGACATAGTTCTTAATGACCCAAACTAAATATTGGAGCTAGTATAACCACCCTCGAAGCATTGTGATATCAACCCAACATAAGGTCTTGTATTTGAATTTTTGGGCGATCTTAATATACCAAAAGTCTTTATGTCGCCTAGGTTCGAATCTTGGGACGGACGTGGGTACCCTCAATTATAGAGGTAAAAAACTAAAGAGCTACCCAGGTATATAATTTAATTTAAAATTTATAAACGAATTAAATTTGGTAAGAAATTCAAAAGAGTAAATAGACAAGTTTTTTTTTTTCTTAACATAAAATAGACAAAGTGTTGGAACCATATTATAATCTTAGCTTGTATATATCAAA